TTCAGCCCTTCAAATCTGAAGCAGCTTCTTTGATGAGAAGTGAAACATCTTCAAAGAAAAACCAGAAAGTCCAGTTGCCTCTTGAAAAAGCACCTTCAGGACACCCCATAAAATCTTCACATTATTGTACAAATGGAGTAATGAAAAACAAAGATATGCTCACCAAAGCAGTAAAATCTATTAATCTACTTGTATTTGCATGATTTCAAACTTCTAGGTGTGCAGGAACCTGGCCAGGTAACAGAAAGTTACCCTATTATATGGAGCTCGGGTATTGAACCCGGGCTGTCCATCAGTGAAGAACCTAATGTATCAGCAGAAAATATTCTTATCATCTAACCTTCCATTTAAGAAATTATTAAAGAAATGCAAAATGTATATGTTGATAGAAACACTGAATATTTTTAGAACTGCAATACAAAATCAGAATAGAATTGGGTAGCGCAAACATTTTCAAAAGTAAAGCATTATTTGGCATCCTCTGAACTGGTCTGAACATTACAAAGTAGAGAGATGTAGCCAGAAATGGCTGCTAAATTAATAGGAAATATTTTCTGTTTTGTCTCTAAAATTCCACTGATTCACAAATATAAAATATGCTTTGTAAAGGGGATTTTTTTTAATGGAAAGAAATATGAAAAAGTATGAAATACTGTATTTTGAAGGGTATGGCCTAGATTTACAGAACAAATATGCAGAGAACTCACATACATTAGACATACATAATTATATTACAACATTTCTTACCAAAAAAAGGTTTCCTTTGCACGATGAGATCCAAGTTTGGGCTCTCTCCATAATGGATCTTACCTTAGACCACTGGATCTTAGTGTCCAGTTGGATCTTATTCTTGGCCAGTGCATGACAGAGCATGATATTAAAGTCAACCTTTTACACACCTTTTCACATTTCTGTGGTAAACAGATTGAACTAAAGATGAATGAGATATGTATAATAATAATTCAGGAAATTAAAAATGTGTAGAACCTATCTCTTATTAATCCTATACCTGGCATTTATTTTATAAAGATCAGATGTGCACCATTTTTCAGTATTGCTTCATTGAAGAGGTGACTTTTATGTTTTGTGCCAATTGACAGCTACTCTGGAGAAACTTAGATTAATGACCTTGAAATGAAGAACTGCATAGGACACAAATAGGTGAGATAATGCAAAGCATGTGACAGCAATATCAAGTCTTTCAAGCTCATCTAAAAAGCACGAACAACACACTATTGTCCCTTGTGTTGGATATTCTCTGAACTTGGTTGGGGTAATAGTATAAATAACAACCTTTGTTTAGAGGCATTAAATACATTAGGGCTTATTGGATCAATTGAACAAAAGAACTATAGTACACCAAACAGCCTCTTTTTTTAAAAAAGAAATCCACCATCAAAATAAGGTTGCATGGAAGAATCCGTATAAACAAATTGCTTTTTTGAAAGCCTTGTTAATAATTTCAAAGAGAAGATGGTGAACAATGGCAGAACTACAATGGTGATAGCTTTTGAATAAAACAAACCGGATCATGGCCTGCTGCAGCCAGCATACAATAATTTTAGAATTTGCTTATGTGGCCCAATGAGCACCAGGAGAAACACTAAACAGTAACAAAGAGATACCTAAATACTTAATTCTTTGCTGTTATTTAGAGGTTATTAATTCTTGCAGGCCAGACCTGTACTGAGAGAACATCCAGTACTGTGCCATCATTGCTTCCTGTTGTCTCCAAAAGCAACACATGTACATAAGCTTCAGGCAGAAGGCAGCACTGATCCTCAAATATAGGTATTATTGATCACGTATGGTGGAATGTGAGGTTACCATGAGACCAGAGAAGTCTCCTTATAACCTTGGTAGAGAACATAGAAGGTACTTTATGGTAACAACTAAATAAGTAAATAAGGCAGTAAAGCAATGTCCTGACTTGGATTTTACTGTGTTAGCAAAACACTCCAAAAGTCATTTTCTGATCTTGGGAGAATAAAGAAATTGCTTTTTGTTTTCTTATCATATTGCTTATGATAGCTATAACAGTTTCGAAAATTTGAGGAAGAAAAAAAGAGATAACGAATCCTCAAAGGGAAACCACATGCTTAGATGAAAGATCAACAACATGAATGCACAAATCAATTTTTCCAGGTAAAAAGGAGATTTGCAAACCAACCAGAAAAGATAAGTTTAAGTGGGAAATCTATATCATTACATTAAACATTGTTCAAAAAATGTTCTCCATACATAGAAACAACTTTATCTGATTTGCTGACCTTGCACAAGGCCTCTGAAAAACAGGATTCTTTCAAGAGGAGAGCAATGTTCTTGGGATAGCTTGATACAAAGCTTATCAAAATTTAAAATAGTCATGGTCTCTACCCAGCATGATGGAAAGTACTAAAGGAAGATATTGTCCTTCTATCTAAATTTGGTTATATTAATTATGGAATATGAAAAATAACACAATTTGCAGGAGTCCTATTTTTTGCAGAAGAAAACAATAGTAGTCTTTTAATTTTATGGCATTTAATTTTAATACATTATCTTGATTTTGCTGCCAATTTGAATGATTTTTGATAAGATGATATGGGTCCCTAGCAGTATTTTTTTTCAATCTGAGAAAAACATTAAATTTCCATAGGTTGCTATGAGAAGCAAGTGGTAGAGAAAGGACTTGAATATTCATTTCAATGTGCCTTGGTCAGTTTATGGTATAGATAAGAATATATCCACCTGTAGTCCACTAGGCGATTAAATATCTACAGTCTTGCTGACTGTACCATTTGGGTCACATTAGGAATACAGTGGTACCAAACTGGTTACCTTTTCCATTCCATCTTCCTTCAGGCTGATGATATCCAAATCAAAATCTTTTCTTAAACCATCTGTTTTGTTGAAAGAAATCCGTCCTGTCAAACCAGTCCAGTGGCCCTAAAAAAAAAACACCAGATTGTGAGGGAGATAGAAATATGATTATGTGCAGTACATTTAGCTTCATTTTTATAAATAAAAAATAGATGTGTAACTTCTATTTCTTGATATAATTACTATTGAAATGGGTTAAAGTAGTCTTCTATGATTAATTCTATAATTTAGTATTTCATCAATAGCTAAAGACTACACGCACAGAGGAACCTGAACAGTGCAGGAATGGAGCTCAGACTTTTGTTTCTCTAACCCAGTTCAGGATTTTCCCTCCCTTCCATCCACAAAAGGGAACTTCTGCAAAGTTCCAAATATCCAAACTTTTCTTCTGCAGGATTTCCACACACTTCTCCCTGTGCATGGAGGTGAGAGGAAATCCTTCAGCAGGCACCAACAGTTTGGCATTCTAGGGAAGTTGACAAATAGCAATTACATGTTCACAGAGCACTTGATAACAAGTTGCCAAGCAGCTAGATCTGTAATGGCAAACCTATGGCACACATGCCACAGGTGGCACACGGAGTCATTTGTTAGGGCACACGAGGCATTGCCCTGTCAGCCCCAGTTTGCATGCACGTGCTAGCCAGCAGACTTCGGCCTCCATTTTTGGCCATTTTTTTGGCTTCCCTGAAGCCTTCGGAAGGTGAAAAACAATCCAACACGGAAACTGGAAGTTTGGTTGGGCCATTTTTCTCCCTGCAGAGGCTTCAGAAAGCCTCCAGAAGCCTCTGGAAGATGAAAAACAGCCCTATGAGCAACCTGGAAGTCCATTGCCGAACTTCTGGGTTGCGTGTTGGGCCATTTTTTGCCTTCTGGAGGCTTCAGGAGATTTCCTTGAAGCCTCCAGAAAGCAAAAAACCACCTAACACGCAAACTGGAAGTTCAGGAATGGACTTCCAGTTTGTGCATTGGACCTTTTTCTCCCTCCAGAGACTTCAGGGAAGCATCCAGAAGTCTCCGGAGGGCCTCTGGGGGGCAGGGGAGGCAATTTTCGCCCTCCCTAGGCTCCTACAAAGCCTCTAGAGCCTGGGGAGGGCAAAAATGGGTCCATCTCAAGCCAAAAGCAGTGGGAGGGTGGGGGTCGTGCACATGCACGGGGGTCACACACATAGAATTATGGGTGTGGGCATGCTCACACATGACCCTTCTGTGCTCCCCCCACTTTTGGCATGCAATGGCAAAAAGGTTAGCCATCACTGACCTAGATCATGATATGTGGCCATGGGGGAGAGAGTGACATTTTATGACATCGGAAGTGCCTTACAAATCTTTTCTCAGTTGTGATAACTTCGAACAGTCATTAAACAACTGGTTGAAAGTCGAGCACTACCTGTAATAATGATACTTAACAATACAATTATTGAAGTCAGAAAGCAGATTATGCAGTAATGAAATTGAAAGAAGAATTTCAAGGAATTTTGAATTACCATTTATCACAGTATTATTCAACTCCTGGAATTATTAACATAATTTATGACAGAAAATAATCCTCTTTGTAGTGACTTGAGATAATAATATTTCCATTCCCATCTTATTTATGGTAACATTACTACATTCTATATATTTACAGATATTTACTGAACTCGATCAGTAGTATTCATGGATTTTTATATTGATGAATGTTTATATTGGATTTTTATATTTATCTCAAATCTTCAATTTCATATCACTAATGTTGAGTATAAATCATATATAATACTCATTCAATCCATATAAAAATGACAAGGCATATACATGACTTTTCTATTATGAATCAGTCAGATGTTTAGACTGAATTTGGCATTTTTATCCACCAATCAAATCCTTACCAAAATCCTGGGATGGTGTTTTAAAAACATGATAATTATATCAATGTATTAGATATGTATACATATTTGAATAATATTTTTATTAGAAATATATATATATTTCTAACTGTGTTATTATGACATTGTATATTATTTTTATTGTATTTCTATCACTTTTAGAGCTCTTTTTACATATGCATCTCCATTACTATAACATTATTATGTGTTTTGCTCCCCTTTTCTGTTATTAATTAAAAAGCGTGTGTGTGTGTGTGTGTGTGTGTGTGTGTG